ATATATATCGAAGTCGAGATAATCAATTGGAAGGGTTTCCAATTTTGAAACACTCTTTTTAATTTAATTTTAAGTTGCACATAACTTGTATAGTATGAGGTTGCCGATAAACTTTATCTTTTCCATATATAATTGTTCAAATCTTCTCCATGTAAACTAATAAGTTGCTGAACATGAAGCAAATATAAGAAGCACCATTAAGAGTTGACTTCCCCAAGTAAAATCCAACTAGGAATATTTCTACGACCTAAAATTTGGTGATGCAATAATATCTTTGACCTAATGAGAAAGCTCAAAAAAAAAGAAAAAAGAGAGGCATATTTATAAAATGATGACCTAATATCAAACAGAAATGGTCTATGTTTGAAGACTAAAAATTAAAATAAAAAAAGTAAATAGGTTCATTAGAGAATCTGGACTAACTCAGTATATGGAATCAAAATCGCTCGTAACAATTAGTGCTGGAATGCTCATTGTAGAGAAAGTTCTGGAATGCTCATTGTAATGATGGCTCAGAGTTATTAGTTCCATTTTCCTCATTCCACAGAACATGTGATTTGGAACCATTTAATTCGACTACTTTTAAATCATTACAAATGAGTGAAGAATAGATACAAAGCAGTCTATAATTATTGGCTCCAAACCGGTCACTAAAATCCCAATGAGTGATTTGGAACTGATAGTTATCAATCAGGAGTATTTTGCCTAAAACTAAGACAACACAAAAGAAAAAGGAAAAAAAGATTTTACGTGGAACATTTTCTGAAAACCACTAATTATAAGAGAGAAATTTCCCAAATTTACATGGTCAGTAAAAATAACATTTTCTGAAAACCACTAATTATAAGAGATAAATTTCCCAAATCTATATTATGAGTACAAAAAAAACCTACATATCCAACTAAAAGCAGATGATTACAAGAACCCAGTTTATAACTAACAAGCCCCCACAATTAGATAACAGGCAATATTTTCCTGGGTTCCAATTTTTCATGTAATCTTCTCGTTTCTCTTTGATGATCCAGAGGATCAAAAGTTTCTTAAGCCCCAAAAATATCCATCATTTTTAGCTGAAATTTTCGAAGCCGAAGATTTTTAGAGATTTCAAGGAGCAGGGAATTCAAGGTGGGGTAGGTTATTGGGGAGCCTGTATTTTGATCTTGGTCATAGAGAGAGAGAAAAGGAGAGGTGAGTGACATTTAGAGGAAGAGCTAGGTACAGGGGCAAAATAATCCTTTTAAATGTGTTAGGGTAGTCTTTGGCCAAATAAAAGGTCTTAAAAGATTAGGGTTGGCAATGGACCCAGACCCAGACCCAACTGGGGACCCCATGACCAGGCCCGGCCTGGGTCCAAGTATGGGACCAGAAATTGGACCCAAGCACTATTCGGGTCCAGGTCCATGACCCAATAGTGTTATTATTTTCAATAATTAAAATATAATATTTTAGAAGTATATAAATAATATTTAAATCATACATGTATATATTTAACATAATATTTAAATATATTGAAATATATGTTTTTTTTTTATTTTTGGGTCGGGTCTTGGTCTAGATCCCATAAATTTTTTTTGGCTCTGGCCAACCTGGACCGGGACCCGGACTGACCCGACTTGACTCATTGCCACCGCTATGAGAGGATGGTGAAATTATGATGGTCATGAGGGGTTGCCCCTTCAGACCAGGCAGGTCACAATGAATTAAGCGTCCAACCTAAAAGAGCAAAATAATAAAATAACATTCAAAAGAAAACTTGCAATATAAATTGAACATCAGCGATGCGTTGCAATGAATATGATTTAGCCAGATACAAACGCAAAATACAGACTTACAACAAGGGTTATGCCCATTACATTAAATCAGGACCATGGATCACATAAGATGAGCGGGTGGTTAAACCACCTCTATGTTACAGAAGAATCAGGGATTTCCAAACCCAGTTATTATTGATCATTTTATGCCTGATATCTATGACAGTGACCCACCATGGGCCAAATTTCTGGCTGCTTATATAGTACCTCAAACAGGAATTGAATGGAGAGACTAAAGTACAAATACATTCAACGGCTTGCAAATGCACCCAAAGGCAAATATTATTTTTTCTTCGAAAGAACTTTGGAATCTCCTCGGCCTGTACTTTGAAAGATGCGATCTGTGATATGGGGCTCCTCCAAACTATCAATAGGCAATTTTGTGGAGTTAAAAGTCCTATTTTGATAATCCTGAACTACAAAAAATTATGAAAAGGAAAGAAACGAAAATCCCCATTCATGCAGATACTTGGAGATTTTGACTACATTCAGTTTCTCATGGGGAAAGATAGCACAAATGACCTATACAGACACAAGCATCCCCCTCCATTTTAACCATCGACAGTAAAGATTAACTATACCAGGTAAGCATCATAACTAAACGATAGTTAATCTCCAAAATCCATCATCAAGAATGGATGGTGGATAATCAAGCTGCCTACACTATACACCCTGAACACACCCTGAACAGGTCCTATACTTCCCTTTCCTAGTTTATGCACACTGATCATCATCATCATCCAAGCGTTACCCCAATTATTTGGGGTCTGCTGATTTATGCACATTGATACTAATTAATAAAGTTCTTACCTTTCCTGAATGCTTGAAGTAAAACATGATGGCTAACCGTGCTGCAGCGCAGGGACATTGATCATGTTGTGGGACGAGTCATTGTTGCAAGGCCACGACCAATGGGGATAAGACCAGCGGCACTTCCATCTGATTCTTCACTGACCACAGATGCTATACAAATGCAAAACAACACAATGAACTAAGACATATCACAACAAAGCATAGGCATATCTTGCTTGGCCTATTTGATAGGCAGGGAGGTAGTAGAACTCAAACAAGCAAAACATCCTCTCTATCATAAAAGATTGGAACACAACAGATGCCATTACTAATAAAGAACAAACAGAAGAACAAGAGAGAGAGAGAGAGAGAGAGAGAGAGAGAGAGAGAGAGAGAGAGAGAGAGAGAGAGAGACGTACGTACGTACGTACGTACGTAACGTAACGTAAACGAACGTAACGTAACGTAACGTAACGTAACGTAACGTAACGTAACGTAACGTACGTAAC